TGATTTTGGAAAGGAGACACGACGTTTAAAGATCGTATGCCTTGATTATATGATTTAGAGATGAATAAATTTTGTGTTGTTATTGATGGATGTGGAGCTCAAGGTCGGTTGTGGTGGTGGAAAAGGAGGATTAAGGTGGTGTAGAACATGAACTTATAGATCTAATGCATGTGATCGAAAAAGGTTCATGCTATAGGTGTGTGTGTGTGTGCACGCGCACACTCACACGCATACAAACACACAAATGAAAAATGCTTGTTGTACTCATTTTTACAATGATTATTAAACGCTACTAATCACATGTTAGCATATAATTTTTTGATTCTTAATTTTTCAATGAAGTTACTATCATGTACAGAAATCATAGACTTTCTAACGATTTCTTAATCTATATTATTGTCATTTACATCTGAATGATAAATATTTATATAAATGATGACTAACCTAGAATATCCAATTTATATATAAATCCAATTAAATATTCACATTTACATGTAGGTTTCACTGAATTTCGATATGAATCTAAGTAATTCATTTTATTTTTTTGTTACTATTTCGATAATTTGGTCATACACAAATGAAATGAATTTACTAAGATTCAAGGGTACTTTTTACTCAAATTCGCATTGGAATGATTAAGAAATGTTAAAATCGAGTATAATTGTCATTTTCACGTAAATTAATGTGTAAAAGCTAGATACAATTCAAAATTATATTATACACTTCACATTTACAATGTGAATCTTAATGAGGTGATATATATATAAGTTTAATAAAAAACCATTATTAGTTGAGAAACCAAAGAACCAATTTAAAACGTTAAAATTTAAAGCACCCAATGGTAAAATGAAGGGATGTAGTCTTTTACAATGGACACATATGTATCGGATTATAACAAAGCTCATTTTTTTTTTCATTTTTTTAAGCCATGTTTTTTACCAAAAAAAAAAAGACCCAATGTACAATTGTTTATGATTTTTCATCATTTTTCCATAAAGATCTGTATTGATATATAAAAAATTATCATTTAAAAAAAATCACTTCATTTCTTTGTTTTTTGAAAAGTTAATGTTTATTTTTTTTTTTATCAAAAAAGTTTAGTAAATATATCAAAATTCATATTTTGTATACTCTTTAAACATAGATACATATTGATGTAAAAAAACAAAAATAAATTTTCAGTTCAAATACACATTGTGAATCTATCCAGATTCACATTGCGAATCTGCTCAGATTCACAGTGTGAATAATAGTAAGTCAATTGTGAATTCTGAAAACTAAATTACATACCGTTCAGATTCACAATATGAATAAATCTGTTTGTTGATTTTACAAAACTAATTTATTAGTAATCAAAACGTTAAAATATTACAAATTTACATGAAAATATTTTTTGATTCATATGCAAATTTCATTAAATTAATTTGTAAATGATCATCGATTTTAAATATTAAGTCAGATTCACATTGTGAATGTTAAAATTAAAATATCTACAATTCAGATTCATAGTGTGAATCTGAATTGATCGATGTTATTTTAATCGATATTGTTGTTACTTAATAGAGGATAAAAAATTGAGATTTTTAGAATAGTTAGTTTTTTTAGAAAAAAAACAACAAAGTGGAGTGAATTTTTTTCAGGAAAAAAAAAATATTTTTTATATATCAACACGAGGACAGAAAATCCTGAACAACGGTATATTCAATTTTTGTTTCCGATAAAAAACATGGTCTAAAAAAATTTAAACGAAAGATTAGTTTTTTTGGTATAATCAAATGTATGCGTCTAATATACAAGTGTACATCCATTATATTGCCGTTGATCATTATGATTTCTGATGCTTACGATTGATACATTGGTTTTTATTAATAATGGTTCTCTATTAAATTTCTTTTATATATATATATATATATATATATATATATATATATATATATATATATATATCATCTGTAAAAAGAACCAAATTGACTTAAAAAAATTAATTTAGTGATTTTAAATCTTAAACAAAATTTAGTGAATAATTTATAAAGATACAACAAAATATGAGATGGTAAAATTGCATTTCGACAAGACCCACACATATTTACTAATTATATGTTATATTGCACTCCAACCTAAGTTTGTTGGTTTGTTCATATATTTATGAGCTAGAGGCCCCTATGAAAGGTACAAGCAATGTGACATTTTGTAATTTGTAAGTTTCTAGGCATCTCACCACCAATTTCAAAGTCACAATAGTTATAATAAAAGGCACAATGGTGTGGTGGATGGGTGTTATAGTAATCATGTACAAGCAAAACCCTTAGGGAAAAGAGACAAAGCGGATTCTTTTTAACCTTTTTCTAGCACCAACAAATTCTTTGTTCAAATCAATACCAACTCCTCAAAGAAAAGGAAAGCATGTCTTAACCCACAAGAGGGGGTAGACCATAATATTATAATGAATTGTTTTGCATATTATATTTGATTCTGTAAAATTATGTGTATTCACATACAATTTGATGTAAAAAAACTATGATTAATTTTTTTTTATGTATAATTAAAAGACAATGGAAGGTGTTGTCATATAAATTTGTGTATCAAAACAAAGAGACCCACAATGGGGCCAAAACAAAGGAAAAAAATGGAGAATACCATTTCTAGCACTCACTGATTGTTGTGTTTCTTTAAAAATTTGAAGTTTCTCACCTTTTATTTGGTGGTTTCTCTCTTTAATTCTTACCACCTTCGTTGAATAAAGCAAATACCCTTCTTAGTTGAGGATTAGTTACCACACCACTACCACCAACCCTTTAACTTTCTTCGCATATATTCCCACCTTTACATTCATACATGGTTGAAATTGATGTAATGATGTAATGGATTTCCTTCTTTCTCTTCATCTTTCACGATTTCCAATCTTCTTGTCCTTTTTCTAGTTCTTGCGATTGGATTTAAAAAAATAAATAAATAAATAAAATAGACAATGAATTTAACAGTTATTGAACAAGATATCAGTAACAATTTATTTAAGAAACAATTGGACGACAAACGCGTTCTAAAAGTTGTCCATGCTATAGTGCAATTTACATGTAGGAAAGTTAAGATTATGCCCGAAAATGTGACCATCATATAGGCAAAACAACACATATAATGCATCCATTACCACTTGATTATGATTACCAAAAATGTTATTACATCCATTTTGACAGATAGACAAGCATCATGAAGATTCAAGCATGTTCATAGACAAAATTGATGATCACTTAAAATAGAACCAAATCATACAAAATCATTAAGTTTTTTACACTATAGTTAAATAGCAACAGGAGTTTAACAAATTCCTTACACACACACACACACACACACACACACATATATATATATATATATATATATATATATATATATATATATATATATATATATATGTGATTTTGTTGTTTTTGTTATTATATATTGGTTTTTATTTGATATTTTTTCTTGACAACCATACAAGAAAATGGCTATAATGAACAATAAAAGCAATGGCCTAAGCAATGAGTTGAGGGTTGGTTTGGTTCGGTGTTGTCAAATGGTCATAATCCAGAAAGCAAATAATGTTCAAACATAAAGAGATGGGTGTTGCTTTCTCTATTCCTTTGCAATCACTTATGACCACCCAACCAAATCATGGTCCATATGTGTTGTCATGAGCATTTCTATAATTTCATTCCAATATATTTGATAGTAAAACAAGTGACTTATTAAATTTTAAAGTCCTCAGATCATATAACCATGGTAAGAAGCGCCTTTGATTATGGGAATGTAAATTATACCTCAGTGTTTATATATTGGAATAATCCGACACACACATAAAAAAAACAACAACAACAAATATAAATGGTCATTTTTTGTCATATATCACAAAATATCGTATTAAATGCAAAATAGCAAAAGTAATCCCAACTATTTAAGGGTCTTTTTTGGAAAAATTGATAATTTCATTTAAAATCTCAAATTTATAATCTCTCTCAAACGAAATCATCCTTAAGTGTAATCACGAGAAACTCCAAAGTGAGAACCATGTTGTAGAATCTTTTCTGCTCATGTAATGAACGCTAACATTGTATATGTTAACAATAAGAATAACAGTGTGGAACATAATCAACTATTATTCAGATGTCACAAAACCTAATCTAGAAGAATTTAATGAGCGACTCTTTGTGTTAAAATAATCACCATAAATCATTGTGTAATCTTCAAGGTACGATGTATAATCTCAACCGAATCTGATCCTACTAATCTTCGGTATTACTAATCTTCGGTATGACCAAAAGAAAAAACATTGTGGAATCCACAAGTTCCATCTCCAATTACATATTGCCCATATATGGATGAAATTCATTTGGAATTCATTCATAAGTGAATTTAAATTATACATTGGTCTTGGTTGAAATATGAGTTGACCATTGAATATTCTAGAAACAAATACATGTTATCTCTTTCTAGTTTCTGATTTAACTCAAACCAATTAGTTTTTGAATAATCATATGTATACATAGAAAAATTACATCTATGAGGATCATGAGTTTGTAGGGGGTTGGTTGGGGTAGGATACATTTTTTACTGTTGTTTTCACAAATGTAGATGTAGATATGTTTTCTTACGAACAACTGGATCAACAACCTTAGTTGTTGATGGTGAAAAATCCACTACAATTTTCTTACATAACTTTGTTTCCTTTTAATTGAATATTTAACGTAGCTTTTCTAAAATGATCATGAGCCATCTTTACGATCAAATGTATCATTCTCAATGGTAAAAAAAAAAAAAAAAAAAAAAAAAAAAAAAAAAAATGGTACAATAAATAAAAATGTTGATTTAATGGAACCTATTTTGATGTAACCAGCTGATATAAAAAAATACGATCGATAATAGAGAGATACGTATAATTGGACCTGGTTATAATAAAGGAATACGTACAATAACACCTTTGTCAAAATAATAGCCTTAAAAGTAAATATGATATGAAGTAAATTTGAGTGATATATTCTTGCTTGAAAAATTAATATTTTGATTGATTTAAAGAAATACATTGAAGACTCCGCCCAATATGTTTTGAATAGGGTACCAGCACCTTCATCTTCCATATCATGCGTTTTTGTGCTGCCATTTATTAACCCAGCTCTCTTTCTCTTTCTCTTTCCATTACACCACTCCAAACTCCAAACATACATCAAATCAGGTACAACAATGGCGGTTCAAGCTCAATGTTCATCAAATATTCTCCTTCTTAACAGGTTTGATCCTCTATCCATCGATCCATATAATTATGAGATCGGATTGAAACAGAATCATGAAAAAGAAGCCCGTTTTATCATGCAGAACCATGTCCATACAAGAAGGGAAAGCTACCCAAAATGGAAATAAGTATCCTTTGCCACCACAATCAGGTGGCGGAGTTGGTTGTGGTGGTGGAGTAGGGACTAATAATGATCATCAATCTCTCAACCACACCTTATTCAACAATTTTCCAGGTACGTATGTGAATCTTCATACAATAAAGCTGAATATGATTTTATCAATCACATTGGAATATATAACGGTTTCTTTTGTTGTTACAGTCGGGAATTATACTACGAATCAAAGAAAAAGAGGAAGAGAAGATGTTATGAATTATTATATGTCTAATATCCATCAACAACAATCTCATGGTCATGGCAATCAACTCATGGATGTTTCCCAAATTGATCAATCACGAAATATTGATGTATCTACTGGACTCCGACTGGCTTTCAATGACCACCACCATCAACAACACTCCTTTTCTCCTCAATCCTCTGGTTTTGTATCCGTGTTTTCAGAAGACCTATCCAACCTAATTAACCAACAACGAGATGAAATCGACAATTATCTTCAATCCCAGGTAAGAACCCGTTAAAAAGTAAAATATATCGTCGTTTTTTTTATCAATAGCAAATCGGTAGCTGAAATTCAGTATCCCTAGGGAGAAGAGTTCAGGCGGAATTTAGCAGAGAAGAGGCAAAGGCACTACACTTCTCTGATCGGGGCGGCGAAGGATTCAGCATCGCGGATGATAAAGGACAAGGAGGCGGTGGCAGAGAAAGCCTTTCGGCGGAACGCCGAACTGGAGGCTCGAGCATCGCAACTTAGCGCGGAAGCGAACGTTTGGCAGGCGAAGGCGAGGGCACAGGAGGCGGTCGCGGCGGCGTTGCAGGCACAGCTGCAGCAAGCAATTGTTACCGGCGTAGGAGGGTGTGTGTCACAAGGTGAGGAGGTGGCGGCGGGTGATGCGGAGGATGCCGAGTCGTCGTACATTGACCCAGAACGAGTCGTGGTGGTGAGTGGACCCGGATGTAAGGCGTGCGGAAAACGGATCGCATCGGTGGTGCTGTTGCCGTGTCGGCATCTGTGCGTCTGTACAGAGTGTGACGACGTCGTTCAGTCGTGCCCTTTGTGTCTTTCCTTCAGAAGCTCTAGCATTGAAGTTTACATGTCATGATGGGACCTGAAGAGATCCTAATTCTGAAAAAAGGGTAAAACTGGAATTTATTATAACAGTTGGAAATCTTGAAAAAAGAAATTCCAAAATGTGAGGAAAATATTAAACATATATAGAGCGCAAAGAATATCTAAAATTCTAAATATTAACAATAATTCAATTGCCTTTTTTTTAATTTTTTTTAATTTTTTTGCCATTTTTTAGGATTTTCTTATTTTGCTTCCTCTTCCCTATTCTTTCGTTACTTTTTTACTGTTTTTTTATTTAATTTCGTTGGTTTATTATTCTTTTTTTTGGTGTAATTGTATTTTAAGATGCTCATTTTAGCGTGTATTATTGGTAACTTTATATGAGGATTTTTTTTAAATCGAAAAAAAATTAAATGGACCCTTTTGTTATTAAACTATGGTGTTTAGATTATCTGAAATATTATAATTTGTGAACTAATAACTATTCAGTAATATACTAATATATCTGAATTAGATGTATCATTGTTAGTTCATATTTGTATAGGATTTTATTATAAGTAGAAATATAAATTTAAAAAAGGAAAAGAAAAAAAAAAAACAAACTTAAGTACTTAACAAATATGATTTAGTTTCAATTTTACGTTAAAACCGAAACGAAACAGCTCGGCCCATCAGCACATGTTCACACTGTCATACATGTACTATTATATCAAGAAAGGAGACGAATATTACAATTTATTTTATTTTTAGAAACCTTTTGTCTTAAATAACAGATATGCATGATAAATAAGTAGTTGTAGATAATGATTTAAGTCATCAATCTTTTATATTTATTATATTAAGTTACACTTTTATTCTTAAATAAAAATATTATTTAAACTTTAGACCAAAATCAGACGTTGCTTTCTTTTTTAACATCAACACATTCCAATGAAAAAACCCATCAAGATGCTAGGAAACAAATACAAAATTTTAATCCAAGCCAACCAATCTAATTTTCACTTTCTTAATCAACGTAGAAATCTAAATTTATGAAACAATAACGATGCCCTAACAAATAATATATTTTTGTGGTCTGACTAACGCAAAAATCATGTAATTTTCAAATCTTCAAAAGAGCCACAAAAAATAAATAAATGCAAAAGTGACAATCAAAGTGCTGTTTAGCGAAAGAACTACACTGACCATGATTCACAGTCAATTATTATTCCTCAATCGTAGTAGTTTGTAAACGTCCAGCGACAAAAATTGACATGATAAGAAACCAAAAGCAAACTCGACACAAAAGAGAAAGGAGTTTGAGTAAGATTTTTGAACTCGTTTAAATAAACAGATTGACACAATACGACAGGAAAATTAAGGGGTAAGGTTAGGGTTATAATATTTTAGACAACATTGCAAAAATGGGCCCTATGGTATGCAAAATTTTGGGGTTTTAGATCAAACCCCGAGTTTTTTGGATTCATGATCCTTTTTGAATGGTTTGTATGTGGAATTGGACCTCGGACTTAACTCCCATTAAAAATAATATATTAACCCCCTCATGTGCCTCACATGTGAGGGTATATCCGTCATTTCATATGTAAGGGACCATTTTTGCAAAAACAATTTTTTGGCTTATTTTGACCTTTACCCCTCATTTACTTTCCCCAACACACGTTAACTCCCCAACTCCCTCCTTGCTTTTGTTCCATCGAACCTACAAAAAACCATCGTTCCTTATCCAAATAAGTTAATCGACGCAACACATACAAGGCTATACGTTTAATTCGAAATGGTGTACGTAATGTGGCAGATTAGATCAAAACATGAAGTTGTTGACGTATTAGCCGTATATGGTAAGTTGCTCAATTTTCTTTAACTTTCATATTTTGTATTTTCTTATTGATTTAGAACAAATATGCAAAATTTTGACTTTGTTATCATGTACAATTTTGAATTTTAGCGGGTGCACTTACATCATTTAGTATTAAGCTTAATCACGGTGGGAAATTTACTAAGTTACCTGATATAAAGTACATTGGAGGTGAAGTGCGTTATGTTGATTATGTCGACATAGATGAGTTTTCTATACATGAACTTGATGCCATAATGCTTGACCTAGGTTACCCAAACCCACAGATGATTGAATTCGCTAATGAATCCCCAATGATATACTACCATTTTATGATACCAATGGTGACTTTCCATTTGCTCTTAGAGCTTTATGGAATGATCAGGATGTGATCAACCTTTCTAAATACATTGCACATAACAAGCTGATTGAGGTGTACACTGAGCATGAGAAGACAAATTTACTAACTTATTTCATGTCTCCAAATGCAAAGGGTAAAGTTGTCATTGATGAATTACCAGAAAATGATGATCAAGGGGCTAAAGTTGAGGGCCAAGTTCATGTAGAATCTCCATCGAAAAATATGAAACATGTTAATGATGAGCCTATTGGTGAGTACATGTCTCTGATTCTTTTTTGGAGTAAGAATGATACTTTCTCACAGAGTATACAAGGGGTAAAGTTGGGAATTCCAAAGGAGGTAAAGGTTCATACAACAGGAGGATTAATTTAGATTATATTGATGAGGGTATTCAAATATCAAAAGAAAAATAGTGATGATCAGGATGGTTCAACTGATATTCAGGAGGCACCAACTTCTGTTCATATTGATGAGATGAATGGTGTTAGGGAGGCTACGACTAGTGTTGAGAAGACATCAACTATTTTGAAGGATGCTACAACACCCCGTGTTAATAATGACGATCAACAATTGAATGAGCTATTTAATAACCTTATAGACAATTTGATTAGAACTGATGAGGATGATGCAGAGTATGAAGGGGATGGAGAATCCGAAGAGGGTAATCTAAAGTATAAAAAGGATGATGAATCTCAAGAAAGTGATCCAAAGTATGAAGAGGGTGATGAATCTCAAGAAAGTGATCCAGAGTATGAAGAGGATGGGAAACAAATAGAAGATGAAGATCAAGTGGATGACATTTGAAAAAGGAGTGTAACAATGTGAATTTCAAAAACAATTTTTCATTTTTCAAGCACAATAAAACTCATACAATATTCTCATAATCTCATGTATATCAAATGTCATCACAATAAAACATATCCCAGAATCTCAAAAACGTAATCTTCTGCCAGTGTGTACAAATCATGCCGACGCCTTCCCGCGATCCTCGGTAGTACCCGAAACACATATCACATAACACGGTAAGCATAAATGCTTAGTGAGTTCCCCAAAATACCACATACATCACATAAGCCACTAGATGCTATAACTCGGTATGACCCTCCGGACAATGTGTCTCAAAGGGACCCTCCAGTCCCGTAGCTCGTTGGACCCTCCGGTCCAGTCTATATCACACACAGCATATATATATATATATATATATATATATATATATATATATATATATATATATATATATATATATATATATATATATAACGCAATGCACATAAATCTCAAACATACACATACACATAAGACCCTCCGGTCTGCACATGATTACCACTCTAGGTAATGTATAGTGAGAAGATTCACCTTGATTAGCAGGTAACCGACAAGCACTTGGAATCTTGGACTAGCCTCCGCCTAACACATAAGATAAGCATCTCAATCATTATCCATCTTATTACTCTTTATACCTTAAGTCCACTTTTCCTCTTTTGGCCTTCAGGATGGGTAAAAGACCATTTTACCCCTCCTTGGCCCCACCTGCCCCGTTACTGGCCCACTCATGAAGTCAATAACAATCAACCTAGGTCAAAATTCCATGTTGACCTGACTCGCCGAGTGCACACCTGTGACTCGCCGAGTCCCCTCGAATTATCCATGATCTTCCTAGGGTTCACTCAGCTCACTGAGTTGACTCCCAACTCAACGAGTCATCACTGGCCAAGGCTACTGGGTCACACCCGCTACAACTCGTCGAGTCATCCCAGGGACTCGATGAGTTGGCTCCATTGGATTACTCATTCAACCACCTAAGGTGAGTTCAGCAACCCTAACTCATTGATCTAACCTCCTACTACCCCAAAGTCGCGTAAAGGTCCGGTCTTGATGTCCATGCATGGTGTATTCTGCATTATAAACCATAAAAACTCCATTAATGGTTCCTAGCATCAAAGCCCAATGGTTGCTCCACCATGGTTTCTCACTTTTGGACTCTCCGGACCCTCCAAGGTCCAGATCTATGCTACCAGCTCATAAGAGGGGTTTGATGCATTCAAAACCCCCACAAATAAGGTAATACAAGCCCTAATCCACAAAAGAAAGATCTACTCAAATAGGGAAGAAAGGGGGGTCCGAATTGATACCTCCAACTGATGCTCCTTGGTTGTAAATCATGGATCTACAACCTTCTCTAGCCTCTTTGGCTTGAAACCTTCCTCTTCCTTGCAAGACACCCACCAAGAAGCTCCACATGGCTCTCTCTCTTGCCCAAAGCACTTAGGACTCATTTAGGGTTCTCTCATATGAAGGTTCGTCGGAATAGGAGACCTTAAGTGCCTTTAAATAGGTCCCAAACCCCGGAAGTTAGGGTTTCTCTGCCCAGCACCTACTCGGCAAGTCCCTCCCCAGACTCGTCGAGTCCACTCATTAAACCACAGGAGAAACACGACTTGACTCGGCAAGTTGGACCCTCAACTCGTCGAGTCTCTCCTTTAATCTCAACTTTAACATACATAATTATATCACTGAAAATTCGGATGTTACAATTCTCCCCCACTTAAATTAGACTTCGCCCTCGAAATCGCTCCTCAACATACATATTTTGCGCCATCGATAAGATCTCATACCACACAACTATCACCCTCTCTGGAAACCTGAATCCAAACAGGGGTCCCCAATCCCGAAAGAAAACCAACCCTGCTGATTTTCTCCAGACATAATCCAACAATCGGCTACTGATCACTCATACCAAACATAGTAACGATCTGAATCATGCCCCAAGAAGTGGGAGGGTCCACGTCCCACCAGGGCTCATCCACTGAATTGCTATCAGAACCCATCCGAACAATGAATTCTCAACACTCTGCCCTCAAACACAAGATAAAAATCATGTTCACTCAGAAATGTCCTCAGACATCTAAAATCATAAGCCTCACCTCCATTCCTCATAACCATTTTTTAACACTAAGTACCAGGTCTGACCTCGACCCAACAGTTGGATCTCCGAGGTTGTCCATTGCATTATCCCAACCATCTCAATGGTTTCCTTCTCACTTTTACTACATCGACACATTATGACACACAAGTCACAAAGTTCACCTTACCCTAAGCGAATGCTACACTCCCAACTGAAGATCAACTCAACCCCGACCTCTGTCGTCTACTACTCATAGTTCCATGCATCTCAAGGTACCACCTGTACCCGAGTACTAACCTACACCGGTCTAAGACATCATATGATAAACAGTTCCCCCCATCATGGAATCCACCTCGAAATCCAGAATCTCATCTCGCTTACCCAATGCACCACCGGAGCCAAACTCGAACTCAAGAGTTTGGTCCGACCCAGAGTTGGAACCACTCATCCCAATGAAGCACTCAACTCATGACCCATGATCTGTGACCCGCGCATATACCACTTCTCCGATTCCTTTGGGGTACTACAACTACAACTCCAATCAAAGTATAACAATTCCCAACAAACATGGAGACCCTAGTCTCACCCCTGGTTCGACCACCAGGCCCCCAAAAACTCAATTATTAGTGCTACCCAAGCAAAAAACTCATATGTGTCTTACTCTAACCAGAGAGTACTCATCACAACACCCTCTCACTGGCTATTGCGTACCACGGCTCCACGTAACGTCACAACAACCTCTCATTGACTAGCGAGTACTATGGCTCCCCGCAACATCACAACAACCTCTCACTGACTAGTAAGTACTACAGCTCCCTGTAGCATCACCACAACCTCTGACTGACTAGTGAGTACTACGGCTCCCTGCAGCATCACCACAACCTCCCACTGACTAATGAGTACTATGGCTCCCTGCAACATCACCACAACCTCCCACTGACTAGTTGGTGAATACTACGGCTCCCCGTAGTATCACCACGCCCCTTTGCTATCTCATGGATGTTGTTGATGGGTTTTGAGCATTCTAACACTTCCTAAGTGTACATGCAACCCTAATAAACCTTGGATCTATGTTTGTCTAAGATACATGTAAAATAACTATTTTTTCAAGGTTCATATCCTAACTAGCGTGGCATGGGGAACATGAATCAAATAAAGCTAGTAGAAATACTTACCTTGTAGTAGTAGTTGATTGCTTAGAGTTTTAGAGCCTAGCACCAATAGTGTGAATGCCTCAAATGGAAATCACAAATCACCACAAACTTGGAACTTTGAGAGAATAGTCACTACTATCTTGAAATCGGCCCTCACCTCAACAAGTGTTAACTAGTGTGATTTCAAGAACCAAAGCCTCCTTTATATAGTGTGGTGGATTAGAGTTACATCCATGTAAACCCTAATACCCATGTCTCTTCATTTCCATGAGATCCATGGGTTAAAGCTCCATGGAGTATCCATGGACTTTTCCATGCAAGCCTAGCCCATTCCAAATAAGCATTAGCCCACACTATATAAATATAGAAGCCCATATTTAATTAGTAATATCTTTGATCTCTAAATTAATCCTAGATTAATTATAGATCAATACTAATTAAATAATATTATCTTATATTAATATATTAGAACTTATAATATATTAATAAATCATAACTTGTACTATTGTCAAATATTATCCATAAATTGTTCGGGTGAAGTGCAACCCAAATGGACCATGCCGGGTCGGGTCAAGTACATACCAAATATAGTTATGGACTTAGACACTATATCCAACAGTTGTAGCTCCCTGCAGCCTTGCAACGCTTTCTCTTACCACCCACGGTTTCAATCTCAAGTTGACGCCACACAATGCATCCGCTAACCTACGCTCTACGACCCAACATAGCTAGGTGCTCACATACCCAATCCAAAAGTAAGCGTCACTACTCCTAACGGTAACTGATAGGACGAACTCCTTTTCTCATTGCAATCCTCTTTCTTAAATAATCTCATTTAATCACCAATTATCCGAAGTGCTCCTACCGGAACCATAGATACTTGCTACACCACTTGCTAGCTCTCAACTCAGAACTCAGAATAATCTAGAAATAAGGACATCATACCCGGATACCTTGGTACACCAACACAAAATCTCCCGATGTTTTGACCAATCCACTTATCTCATACTCGAGACCCCATGCTTGGATACTGCATTGCTCTTTCAGAATCTCTCAACCGATATTTCTCTCGCATTACTTGAAACCTCCGAGTATTCTATCTCCCAATTTTGAAACATCGAAGCATCGAAAATGGCTCAGAACATGTTACCAACAACCCAAAACTCCCCCTCTACTGGTCCCTACTCATATGGAACTACTCATATCAACCCTGAGATTGGTTGATGAATCAACTGCTGCCCTACAATCTATACTTTCACTTGCAAATCTCAGCTATTGCATCCGTAATCCAGCGACCCGGTCGCACTCGAACACAAGGAATCTTCCAATTCACTCATCCTTTCTCAAACACATACCACATGTGTTATCTCGCTCTGCACCTAGCATCGATCACCAATAACCCTGGACTCATGAATCCGCACCGTAGGTCTCTATGTCCAAATCTTTAACCGTTCTTGAACAAATATATGATCTCCTCCATAAAATACCCGGTTCTCCCCCACTTAGGGTTCGAACCATCACCAATTGGCGCACCAACAGTCTATCCCACAGACTGTTTCCACTAGTAACATCGCACCTACTCTTGGAAGGTGCTACGCAACGCCCGATGATCTCCCCGATAGAGATCAAGTAACCCCCAATACCCCGAATCTCAGATGAAATCCTCAGAACTTCCTATCATGACTGCCTCTAGTTATTCAAAATCTCACACCATTCCATCACCGGACCTCCCAACTGTCCAACAT